GAACTCACACTGTAAGACCAGGCTAGCTTCGGAACTCACAGAGGTCTGCCTGCCTCTGTCTCTAGAATGCTGGAACTAAAGACATGTTTCACCACCACCCAACTTCAAGGATAATTTTTATTTGTTCAAGTATAAATAACACACATCAATTCTTTAAAAATCAAAGAACATCACGTCTCCTTATATAAGGAGAACAAATACTCTAAGTTCAGTTTTACTTTCTATTTCCCAATACCCGCCATCCAAGTTCATGAAATGTTGAGCTAACCCTCCAAACTAAGGCTTTTTCTACCATAAATAGAACGTGGAATTGAAAAGTTTTTCAGCTCTATCAAGCATGAAGTAAGAGGGATGAACAGCAAAGCCAGTCAATTATGCAAAACCATTCTCATCATGACCTGACCAACGTACAGCCTCAAAGACCACCACCTTTGTACTGTTTGTTTGTTTTCCTTCTTCGACAGTAGAAGAATGAGGTGGAGAAGCAGGGAGAAAAAATTGAGAATTAAGAAAGAAGCACATGATAACCTCAGTTCTATCTTTCAAAGATTAGGCAGAGTCAAATCAACCTCCAAAGATCAGAGACAGTGGACCTATGAAAAGAGCAACCCGGACAGTACTGTTGGTAGCCAGATTCCCCTCCTCCAGGGACCCTGAGTCTAGAAATTCCAGTGGGGGTGGGGGTGGACTCCCAGGAATATACAATGGGATCTAAGAAAGACTGTTGCCAAGCAACACCATTAGAACAGAGTTCAGAATAATTGTAGCTGTCATCACTTCTCATCCATAGAGAATTAGATTTGGAAGCATGGGGAAAGACCTCTAAATGTCCCTTCCATTTCCACAATCTAGTAAAGCAGTTAGATGAGAATAACAGACTAAAAGAAAAGACAGCAGCTATGCAGGGCGGGGAGGCAGGGGAGTTTTTAGACATCCTCAAGCTGGTCTCAAACTCATGACAATCTTTCTGCTACAATTACAAGCATGAGCTACCATGCCTGGCAACACCATCCTTACAGGTTGCCATTCCAGGCATTTAGAAAACATCAATATCATGCCATCACTGATTCACAGAACAACCTTTTCCCCCAAGTTTAACCTGAGAGTAAAGAGTATTTTATGCCTTGACTTTTTCCTCCCTGTGCAAGAGATTTTTCATGAATAAGCAAAAAGTAAATCCCAAAGATGGGTCCTGTTCTGTTCTCTACCATCTACAATTTCACGAAGGGTTCAGCAAACTAGAGGCTGAGGTGGGAGGATACAGAGTTCAAGGTTATCCTTGGCTACATATCCAGTTCAAATTCAAGCTGGGCAACAAGAGATCCTGTCACAAACAAAACAAAGCAAATGGATTCCACGATGGCTCAAAGGGTGAACAACTTACCAGCCAAATCTAACCACTTGAGTTTGATTCTCAGATCCCACAGTGGAGAGAACTAACTCCTGAAACTTGCCCTTTGACCTCAACTTGTACACACACACACACACACACACACCACACACCCTGATAATAACAATAATACTAAGATAAATAATATTCTAATGTGGAGATAGTACATAATTTCATCATTAAAGAGGCAGAAGTAGGATGGACTGGAATCAAGGCCAACTTGGGTTGCATAGCAAGACTCTTTCGAAACAGCCTCAGGTTGTAGTTCACGCCTATAATTCCAGCAGTTGGGAGGCAGAGTCAAGATGACCGTTGAAGTTAAAAAACGGTCTATTTTATAGGCCTGCCCAGGGAGGGCTACATAGCAAGAACCTGTCTCCACAAAAGAGAAACATATTGGGGGCAGGGCAGTGGATAGAGGCAGAAGCCTCTCATACAACCTTCATTCCTGATCCCTTGCCCCACCCTCAAGTCTACAGGCAGGGCTGGTTCAAGGGTTAGAAGCCTGAAATTCTGCCCCCTATTTGCCAAGTACCACTTTAGTGCCACTTCAGTGGCTCAAGCAATGCTAGGAATGGCAGGAAAATAAACAGTTCTTAGCCCCTGTTAAAGTTTAGCTGAATGCAGACCCAGATATTTTCAAATACTTCAAGGAGCAGAGCTCTGTGTCTGCCATCATGGATGACACCAGTGATCACGTTTTCCCTGGCCTGCTAAAACCCCAGTAAATCAAACAGCTTTTCCAAGGCTGACCCACGAAGACCTAGATTGAGGTTGTAGCCTTCCTGTTGGTATGCTGCACCACTCATGGTCAGTCCTCCCTACACGAGTTTTAATTTCCCCATCTATACCATGGGAAGAACTGGAATTGGCAGTTGTTCAAGTATGGCAGCATATGTCTCAAATCCCAGCACTTGAGCAGTGGAAACAAGAGGATTAGAAGTTCAAGGCTAGCCTGGGATATATGAGACCTTGCTTCATAAAACCAGTTAAGCAAATAAATAAATTATAACACAATAAATCATAGAGCTTGAAATAGAAAACTCAAAACCTTGAAAATTCACAATCTCAGCCAGGTGGTTGTGACACACCCCTTTAAATTCAGTACCCAGGAGGCAGAGGCAGGGGGATCTATGTGAGTTCAAGGCCAGCCTGGTCTACAGGGAGAGTTCCAGGACAGGCTCCAAAGCTACAATAAAAAAAAAGAAAAAAGAAAATTCACAATCTCCTTTTAGGGAATCCAAGAGTGTTTCCAAAGTTTTTGAGTTTTTTTTTAAGTTAAAGATAGGAGTGAAAAGGAAAGGGCTTCTCAAAAATGTTTATGTTTATTTTATGTACGTGAGTGTTTTGACCACCTGTATGTATGTGTGTGTGTCACATTTGTGCCTAATGCCTAAGAGGCCAGAAGAGGGAGTGAGAACCCCTGGAACTGGAGTTACACACAGTTCTAAGCTACCATGTGGGTGCTGAGACCTGAACCTGAAAGAGCAGTGTGAGCTCGTTTCTGTTAAGCCACCTCGCAGTCTTACGAAAGACATTTTAATTTAGAATTGTTTTCTCTCCAGAAGGATAGACAGGCTGGTTATATTGTGAAAGCCTATGATCATAGCACTCCAAGGACCGAGTCAAGATTACTAGGAGTTGGAGGCCAGCCTGTGCTACAGTGTAGGAGAACCTTTTCCAAGAAACATCAAAGCCCAGACAAAACAGTTCAAGATAGGCATATTTCAACAGATTTAAAGCAGGCTGGCCCAGCTAGATAAAATTGCCTATAACAGTGAAACTGACCACGGCTAATACAAACAAAGGGATTTGATTTTACACTACCACTCTGGACCTTTCACAGTTTAGAAGTGGTTAAGTACACAAAAGAGAAGGAGTGTAAGCCGAGTGTGGTGGCCGCTCAAACCTGCAGTCCTTGCACTTGGGAGGGTGAAGCAGAATGACTTCCAAGAGTTTTTAAGACTACCTCAGGCTACAAAGAGAGTTCTAGGCCAGCCTGCAGTAGAATCAGACCCTCTACCAAATAAAGTAAGCCACGTGTGGTGACTGTCAAGCCTGTAATCTCAGCACTGCTGAGACCGAGGCAGGAATATTGGCAAAAATTCAGAACCTATGTGCATTACATGGGGAGTCCTAGGCCAGCCTGAGTTACAGGGAAAGATCCTGCTTCAGAAAGAAACGACCAAGCAAAAAGCCCAGCAGCGGGATACATGTAATATGAAAACAGGAGGGAAGACTGAGGGGAGGAAAAGAATGGAGGAAGGGAACCAAGTATAATTTCATTCGTGTGTGTGTGTGTGTGTGTGCGCGCGCGCGCGTGCGTTCATAACGTATAATTTTACGTAAGACCAGAGACTCTGTCTCAAAAAAATTAAGAAATTAAAAAAAACTTTGTGTTCCTTAAGGACAGAGTTCTGAGAAGGCAGGAACGGTTCAGCAGTGAAGCTGGAATACACTATGGTGGGAACTAAACCTCAATATAGGCACAAAGACCTCCCAGTATCTATTCAGTCTCCTCTCCTCCCAGGGGTCGCATCCCTTCCTAAGCATCCTAGTCACTATCTGAGCTCCACCAGGCTCAGGCAATCCTAGGGAGATGGATGGGCCAGGAGCATACGACATAGGAGCCCAGCAAGCTCCTTCATCTAAGAGACTCAAGTCACGTTGGTCACTGGGCCTTCGCGAACAAGGACCTGGCGTGACTCGCACAAAAGCAAGCAGAGCTCATTAGTCAAGCACAACCCTTCCCCCACCCCTCCTTACTGGGCATCCGGCCCCCTTAGGCCTCACTCCCTGGAGGCGTCTGCTCTTGTAGCAACAGCCAGTGGGGTGGAGTCCAGATCTCTAATCAACCACTAAGCTAGATAGGTGTGGCCCCCACAGGAGAAAACCCGTACCTCACAGGGCAGTCCTAAGGGGATAGAGAGGCACTGTGTCTATCAGGGATTTCGTAGAGGAAGAGAAACCTGCCCTCTCTTCCACTAGGTTGAGTGCGCCCCTCCACAGACTCGTACCTATTGAAGTGTTTGCACCCCTGGGTAAAAGGAAGTAGCCTAGGTGTTGAGCACCCTCTACATCCCCCTCATCTCCCAGGGGAAAGCAGTTTAAGCTGAGGAGCGGTCGAAGGGGGCAGAGCAGGAGTAGGGGCGACGGGCAGATGGCTATGGGATAGGTGGATGGGCTTGCGGGATCCTCCCTGAGCAACTTCCTCTCTCCTCCCTGTTTCTCGGTTATCATGGGGCTCTTCTGGGACAGTGGTCGCCTTGCTCCAGAAAGGCGCCAATTCCTGGGCCGGGGCAATGTTCTCAAAAGTAGAGTCCTCTTTCCCAGTGCCCAACAACCCTGAGTTTCCACTGCCTCATCCCAGAGGCGGGGAACTGGACCCTGAGAAAGGTTGGCCCCTCCTTATCCACACTTCTAGTCCGGACAGCCCCTCACCCTCTAGAACTCTGAAAGGAGGACCCCACTAGCCTCTTCTTCTAGGGCCTTGAGGGATAGATAGCCCGGCATCCCCAGCAGGCCTGTGACTAGGCAAGCACGCAGCCATGGGGCTGCAAGGGTCAAACTGGAGCCCTCGGGACCGACAGCGCCTGTCCCCGGCACTCACCGTCTTCGGCATGGTGGCGGCAAAGGCAGAGGAGTTGGCGAAGTTTGGCTAGAAACTGTCGGGCTGTTCTGAGCACGCGGTACACTTCGGCAAGGACTCGGGAGAGCCGGGTGCTCAGATTGGGTCCCACTCTAGAGTCGGACGACTGCTCCGCTTCCTGCTAACGGGCCACGACTTTACAAACCCCACCCAGGAAAGAGCCGCCCCCGTTGCGCCGCTGCTCCTTTATGTGGCCGGGCTTCCGCGCCTCTCCCCGCCCTCCCGCCCGCCTGCCCGCGGCTTCGGGCATCGCCCCGCCCAGCCCGGCCCAGCCCAGTGCAGCCACTCCAGCCACGTGGGGGGCCAGGCCGGGGGCCCAAACGCCCCAAGAAGGACTCCCACTCCCCACCCAGACCCACTCTGCCCCCTCGCACCTTTCTAACAGTCCCTAGCCCTTCAAGTTTTGACCCTCAGACTCCGCCCCCAGTCTGAGCCAGAGCTTTAGTGGGGGCCACACCCTAGCAGATGCTTATGCAGCTCTCAACTGTGAGTTAACCACTGTTGGGGAACCCACTGCCCATTGGAGCTGCCCTAGTCCCTCTCTAGGCATCCTTGCTGATTAGAAAGTTCCTCCGGGGTACTTTTGAACTCTTTTGCTCTGTGACTTCCAATCATGCTTCATCTAAGCTCCATGGGAGCACAGCAAATTCTCTGCTGTCCATAGCGCTCCCCAGAGTTCTGCTACTCCTCAGGAAACTTCTCTTGACTAAGTTGCCTCAGCTCCTCCTAAACACTTCATTCCCGTCTATAGGGCTCGTTTCAACTGTCACACTTCCTATACACTATTTGGGCGTCATGTTCTTCAGAATCGAGATCTTTTCCAAATATCTATATTCTAAATTCCCTTTCTTTCCTCCTATTCCCAGTCTCAACTCTACTCAGACCAGGACTGTAGTCCTTTCTTTAGCCCTACCCCGGCAAATTAGTGGGTTTTTTTTGTGTGTTTTGTTTTTTTGGCTTGTTTTTGCTTTTGTTTTGTTTTGTTTTTGGTCTATTTGTCACCGGAGCTGACCTTAAACACATTGTGTAGCTAAGGTTAGTATTGAATTCACAGTCCCTACTATGGTACCTGAGGCTAGTCTGGAACTGTTAATCCTATTGCCTCTACTGACTTTCACGTGTGTGCCACAATTTCTAAACATCCTTTTTCTTTTTACACAGGGTAGTAGCAGTATTCAGTTGACTTGGACTCGTCATCCTCCTGCTTCTGCCACTCTAGTGTTGGGATTACAGGTGTGTTCCCCAACCCCAGACTTGAATTCACTTTTTGATAAGGGTATAAGGCTCTCGGGTGAGATATACCCTCCTGTTCTGGCAACTGTGCAGGAGCATGGGTTGCGTGTCTTTTGTGAGGTAAGGTGCCATATACCTCATTGATGGAGCCTCAACTACAGAATAGTGGAAAGGGCATTTGAAAGGGGCAACCACAGCACCCACTTGGCTTCAAATCCCAGTTTTATCATTAATGCACCCCTGTGCCCTCTGTGCTCTCTTGGGCAAGTCCCTTCCCTTCTCTAGCATTGAGGTTCCCCTTCTGTAACAGTGACCAAACTACTGGGTTTCCAAGGTCCTTTCCCACTCAAACATTATAAAAGAAAGAGAAAGAATCAGCCTGCTCAGAAAAAAGCATAAACATGGTTGCATGAAGTCTTGCATTTCCACTCAGGAACTTAACAGTCCTATTTCCACCTCTCACAACTTAACAGAGTTCATGAATCAACATGCCTCCATTTCTGTCACTGATACCATTGATAGGCAGTGGAGGGGGAAGGAAGAGCCTTTCGGAGACGTTGGTATCAGGAGTAGAAATTAACAGCCAATCATATTCCTCGATACTGACATGGCCCATGGACCCCCACACACACACCCGCAAAGTGAAAGGAGCTTACTGATTCTTTGATTCATGTTCACCTGGAGCCTAAAGGATTTTGACACCAAAATAAATACCTAAAATAAAATAAGTTCACTGCAGACTAGTTGAACTGTCTGGAAAGTGGAAATCCCCAGTATGTCATTCCCTAATCCCTATGTGTATGTCTACGCCCACAGCCACACCACACCTACTCCCGCAAGCACATGCACAAGGAAAAACTGGGTAGCATGTCAAGGACTTGAGTAAACCACTAAGAAGGTAAGGGAGGCATTGGAATCCAAGTGAAGTGGGAGAGGATGCCTTAGGGTGGGGGAAGGTAGGAGAGTGAAGGAAGTAGTTATAAGGAGTCTTAGGGAGATGGGTGAGATTGGACCTTGGGGAGGAGAGATTGCAATAGTACAAGTGACAAAATGATGGTTAAAATCAGGGGCAAAAAGGAACAGGTGAAGAAATGCCCCACATTCCCACTTCACTAGACAGAAGTTAGTTAAAGTGGTGATGGTTACTGTGGTCAAGCAACCGAACATTATTGGGATATTAGAATTGAAATAGTCTCCCTATTGTCAGAGCAAAGTAGAGGCAGCTGTGGTTCTCTGCTGTTCCTCACTATGAGCAGGGAAATTCATCTTCGTTTCCTACCTCTTTGTATACCACTCCATGTTTACATCGTCAATATTTCTATTCTTCCCCCCATGCAAGTGCTTATTGTGAACATACATGATGCAAGAATTACACCAGTCTTTCTCAGACCAGATTAATCCCTACAATTAAGTTTAGATGTGATCTGGTTTATGCCAGTCTTTGTGGAGAAATTTAGATGAGAATAAAGTCTAGCTATGTACACATAGATTGGCTCCTCAGGGAGAAATAGGGAGCATGAAGAGATTTGTGGTTTTAGATGAGGAAAATTCCTATCATTCAAGGAAGGTTAGGCAAATCAAACAGTAAAGCAAGGTGAGGGCCACTATGAGGAGATGCAGTGCGGGAGCATTTTAGATCCAGTGTCCAAGAAAGCTGGAAACATCATAATCAAGGGACAGGAGACTAAAAGTAAGGTGTAGGGGCTGGAGAGTTGGATCCATTTGGAAAATGGTTGCAAAATAAGCATGGCGACTTGAATTTTAATTCTACCATCCACTTAGTAGCCTGGCAAGGAGGTTCATGGGGACAGGGCAGAGACAAGTAGATCCCAGAAGCTCTTTGTCAAGACAGCCAAAGTAATTAGCGAGCTCCAGGATCAGCAAGAGATCTTGTGGCACACTTTTACATAAATCAACCTTATAGTCTGGCTGGAAAAGACTTGCCACAGTTCTGTGCTTCTGACCATACACTTGCACTATTGCAATCTCTCCTCCCCTAGGTCGAATCCCGCCTACCTCCCTCGGGCTCTTTATAACTACTTCCTTCACTGCTCTACCATGCCCCTGCCTACAGCATCCTCTCCTACTCCACTTGGATTCCTATGCCTCTCTTACCTTTTAAGTAGTTTGCTCAGCTCCTTAACCTGCTACCCAGCTTTTTGTTTTTTTTTGGTGCGTGAGTTTACGTCTGTTAATGGGTAGATGTGGTATGTGTAGGTGTGCACATTCTTTAGCTAGAAAGTACTATAAAAGAATATAGTGCTGCCTCTTCAACAGAAAAAGTTCACCTTGTGACACAATATGGCTGAGAATATAAACCGAAGTAACAGGGTACTCTTCTTGGAAACAAACAAGCAAACAAAAAACAGCTTGAGTGACAGCAGAGAAAATGTTATCTACCATATAGTATTAGAGAAGCCATTTAGTAACTCACATCATGTCACAAAAGACTTTGCAGAGCTAGGAATGAGGGGGTTGAGAGTCTAAGAAATGAATTACCTTTTGGAAAATCACATGGTTTCTTAATAATAAGATAAGAAGCTGGGCCTGGATCGTGTGAACTTAAGTCTACTTTCTTTCTACCTAAACCCGTGACCTCAGTCCCAGGCTGTGACAGGCAGAAAGCCTGCATTTTATGATTCCTATCAGCACAGCACCTAATGGGCAGGCTAGAAGCTAGGGATAGCGGATGGGTAATGAGCAGCAGTGACAAGGCATCTTGCCAACATCAAGTGCCTGGGGATATTTATTATTAATCCCGCTAATGGACGACAGTGAGAGGGTAGGCTTTCTTCCTGGCCTTTCCTCACATAAAGTTGTAAGCAGTTCAGGAGCTTCCCCCAGCCAGGCGATGTGTTCAGTTTGAACCAGTGTCCTCTTGCAATAGGAAATGAGTCCTGCCAAGAGGGACTCACAGTCTAGTCAGTAGATCCCAGCCCTGTCCCCAGAGACCAGTGGCCAGCCATATGTGACCAGTCTGCATGCGCTGCTTGTGCTACCTCTGCAAAACATGCATAGTCACACTCTACACTTCTAGAAGGACGTGCCCCATCCCTCCATCCTGCCGTGTGTCCCACAGTGCCTGGTGGCTACCTCTCAGGGGCCGGGCTCTGTGAGGTGTGCTCACCCTCATCCCCCCAGCAGCTCTGTATCTGTCAGTGGGTTTGTTGTTAGCAGCGTCTGTTGTGTGCACAGTATCATCTTGTTGAGTTCTCCTGTGTTGGCCCCTTCCCGTTGGTCACCAAGCTGTGCTCTCTGTGTGTCTGTCCTCGACAGCTTCCTTCATGCTGTGTCTACCAACAGTACCCTAGGTCCTCCCTAAGCCACTGGTTTGAACTGTGAAAACAGGTGCCTCCCTGGTCTTCCTGCCTCTAGGCTGCCCTGCCCTGGCCATCCTCCATGTGGTTAACATGGCGATCTTCAGAAATGGCGACTTTGACCTGTCCTCAGAGTTGGCAGGTGGCCCGCCCCGTGATGCACACACTTCCCTTCCCAGCCTTCTTTTCTTCCCACAGCTCCCAGCACAGGCCTTGCCCTCCAGCCAGGCTACTCTGGCCACAGGCAGTGTGCTCCCTCTTGTCCCTGGGCCACCTGGGCCTCACCTACATGAAGCCCTCCCCGGTCTCTGTTCCCTCCTTGTACTCTCTGCTTCCCCTTAGCTCCTCTGGCAGGCACAGTCATTTCACGGTGCTCATCAGGCCTCCCTTCCACATTGGCTTTGTCTCGTCAACTGCTGCTGTTTTCTTTCTTTCCCTCCATTCCTGAAGGACAGCTGTTCTTATCTGTAGCCCTGCAGGCATATCAGAATATATTCTGTTTTGATCTTATAAGGGCAAAATTTGGCGTGATAGTGGTGATACAATAGTTAGTATAGTTGCCTTCTTTATTGTTTTTTTTTTACTTAAATTAGCAACAAACTTGCTTCACCTGTCAAT